CAGGGTGATCAGGACCCCTGGGAGGCTCCACTGGGGCTGCTTCAGCCTCCTGTATCCTCAAATGTCACCCCAGGTTGGGGGTCCTGCACATCCTGGGCCAAGCACCCTATGGAGAGAGTGTGGTGCTGGCAGGGGTCTGGTCCCCACGGGCAGCACATAGTGCATGCGGTGCCCACATCTGTGCCCCTGCTGCAGCCTAGGCTAATGCTGCAGGGAAACAGGCTTAAGGTGCATGGCCTTGTCCTAGCCAGGGGGCTCTGCCCCCAAATAGACACTACAGGGGTGGGAAAGGGGATAAACCGTGGCTGGGCTTCGCCCTGGGCACACTAAGAAGTGTGTGGGTGCCCCCACCACAAACCAGACCCTGCAATGAGACAGCACTAGAGGCAAGATGAAGCTATAATGGGAATATCCGTGTGTATAAGTGTGTATAGAAATAAATATGTCTAATGAAGCTGAGGTGGCGGCTGCATGTGGGTGTTGGTGTGGGCACTAACACCCCTGGGGTCAGGACACTGGGTGTGTAAGAAGGACGTGGGGGGAGGCCATGAGGATGATCGGGGGCACCTCGTGTATGGAGACAGGCTGAGAACACTGGGGCTGTTCAGGCTGGAGAAGAGAAGCTGCTGGAGACCTCAGAGCAGCTTCCAGTGTCTGAAGGGGGGTACAAGGATGCTGGAGAGGGACCTTCATAAGGCACTGGAGTGACAGGACAAGGGGTGATGGGTTCAAACTGAAACAGGGGAAGTTCAGGTTAGAGCTAAGGCAGAAGCTCTTCCCTGGGAGGGTGCTGAGGCGCTGGCACAGGGTGCCCAGAGAAGCTGTGGCTGCCCCATCCCTGGCAGTGTTCAAGGCTAGGTTGGACACAGGGGCTTGGAGCAATCTGCTCTAGTGGAAGGTGTCCCTGCCCATGGCAGGGGTTGGAACAGGATGATCGTAAGGTTCAGCCCAATGGTCCAATCCAAACCATTCCATGACTCTATGTATAGCCATGGTACAGCCTGCAGTGGCGGGGCAGAGCATGGTGTCCCCGTGTCACCCCTGGAACTGCTGGTGGCACTATCTCACCCTGGGTGTCACACTCGGTGCCACAGGGTGATGCAGCCACCAGCACCTGACTGGGCTCCAGCTGATGCTGGGCTGCAGGCTGATGGCTCTTTAATTACCAGCTAATGAAGCTCCCAGGTGGGCTGTGCTGCTCTGAACCTGGTTCAGGTCTCTGCCCCATCAGCAGTCCCTGTGCTGGAGCCTCAGAGCCCTGCAGTGGGGTACTCGGCTAAGCATGGCTCAGGCCCCACAGACCCTGCCATGCATCACAGGAGGGATGCACATAAGCAACCCTAGAGCTTCTCTGGCCTCCCCAGTGCTTCCCAGTACAGGAAGTGCGTCTTCCCCTCCAGCCCACCCTGAGTGCAGGGCTCCCCCTCAGGGACGTCCTTCAGCTTCCAGCTCACTATAACCCAGTGGCCCTCAGGCTGTTTGTTTCCCATTCTGGTATCCCTGGAGCTTCGGGGAGTTTGCAGTCCCCAAGGGCAAGGCCAAGGCTGCAGCATTGCAAGGGGGTTGTGCAAGGCTGGGGTACAGGGCTCTCAAGGAGACCATGGACTAAAACCTCCATCCCAGAGCGAAAGGAGTGCATCCCTCTGCACTCCGGGTGCCAGCGGCACCAATCCAACAGGACCACTGGCATCTTTCATCCCTTTCAATGAAGTCAGAATGGGGATTGTGCCAACAGGCGCATGGGTTTGGGGGTTTGAACCATCCTCTCCTCATGGGGTGCCTGCAGTGACAGCAGCGGGCTCACCTCTGTGTCAGGGATGGGAGCCAGGCCCTATGTGCCAACAGGGTGCTGGGGTGGCAGGGAGGAGAAGGAGGAGGACAACTAAGGCAGCAGCTCCCTTGGGAAGCACTTGCGACAGGTCCCCTCCTTGCATGCTCTTGCACCACCACCCAGCACAGCCCCACAGAGCCAAGTAGGGCAAATAGCTGCGACACCCCCACAAGCAAAGATGGGGTGAGACACAGCTGAAATCAGCAAAGCTTTACTTAAATAAATATATTTACAGAGCAGCAGACGACAGACACGAGCTGGCCGCAGTCGGACAGCAGAGTGCAAGGAGAGGCTGTGCAAACCCCGACGGCAGCCTCTCTCCCCAGGCATTGACCTAGCGGGGTGCTGGGACCCCCCGGGATTAGGGGAGGCAGCAGAGGAGGGGAACAGGGCCCCCAGTGCTCACTGCAGGGTCTTCCTGCGGGGCAGGGGCGGGAGGCTGAGCAGGTTCTGCGGCGCTGGGCTGCTCTCTGCCTCCTTGGGCTCCTCCGTGGCATCCAGGAGCTGCTGCATGTAGCAGGAGGTGCCAAGCAGGACGTGGCCGGTGGCCTGCATGGTGAAGAGCGGCCAGCGCAGGGATTTCCTGGGGTGAGCGTCCCTCCTTGCCCCCCACAGAGGGGGCTGGTCCCCTACTGCAGCATCCCAGCTCCCAGAGCCATCTCCAGCCCCCCACCCCAGCACTCACTTCATCAGCCGCTTGGCCCCATAGCAGCGCAGGTCATAGGACATGCTGTAGGTGCCGTAGAGAGTGGCTTTGACATTGAGACAGCCCAAATCCCGCGGGTTGGTCTTGTATAAGTCAAAGGTGACACGGGCAACATCAATCCTCCGAGGGGGCTTGTGGGACAGGCTCAGCTGGTAGCCGGGGGTCTGGGCATAAGTAGGACCAGGGTTACCCAGTGATTCCCCCACCCACCCAGTCCCACCTCACCCCATGGGTACCTCCCATTGAGCATCACATCAACTCCCTGCTGATCCCAGGGACAAACCAGGCTCCTGCCACCCTCCCCACCCCTCCAGGGATGCACCCACCTTGGAGGCAGCCCAGGTCTGCCCCTTGCTCAGGGCCATCAGCACCGTGCCCTCCTCCAGTGTCCGGAAGAAAGCCTCTGTCTCCACTGCGGTGCCATCCTCATCCAGCACCAGCGAGATGGGACCAGGGGCCAGCAGAGCAGTCTGAGCCTGCAGGGGTGCTGGGGGTGAGCAGGGCTGGGGGCAGCCAGCCCACCACCCACCTCTGTGGGCAGACAGCCCCCAGACAGGCTGACATGCACCAGCTCACCTGGTGCAGCAGCTCGGCAAGGCTATGTGCCATGATGCCCTTGCGCAGGCTGCGGTCCCAGTTGCAGACACGGAAGGGTCGGGGCTGTGGGGCCGGACTCGACAGCAGTTGCTGGGTCATGGAGGCACTTGCCGAGACACATCTGGGAAGGGATGGAGGGATTGGGGTCTCCCAAGCCCCCCCTCCAGCCCCAGGCAGTGCCAATCCCCTAAGACTCAGTGGAGAGGGGCACATCCACCCCAAGAGGTGCCAAAGCAGCGAGGGCTCCCACATCCCCCACCCCAGGACGGTGGCTCCCCGGCACTTACTTGGAGACAGGGGCAGCCAGGCGCAGG